AAAAACCCTATTACTCTGGATGTTACTTGTCTTATGTTCTATACTACACCTCAGCGCGTGGACGGGCGAACTGTATGGCTGTAAAATAACAGTGTTTAAAAAAACACATGGAGAATGTCTTACTTCTTCATACTATGTTGCGATAGGGTCCCCTCCCTAAGGAGAAAACAAAAAACACCTCAAGACAAGCTGGCTATAGAGCACAAGACAACATTCCTCACGACCTTGTAGCATGAGACCACTTAATCAGACTGCAAGTTTGTATACTACCATATATGGGAGACAAAGGAGTTAAAAATATATAAAAAACTACGCCACGCGAAGTTCAGGGCTCAGTTCTTCGGGTACAAGCCCAACTGAGCGGTGCCGGTACGAATAAAGTTGCTTCCTGGAAAGAAAAGCCTCGGTGTCGTGACTTTGTGCCAGAATCCTGCTACAATGTTAAGTTCAAGTTTTCCATGTGTATAAACTCAAACTATGGTGTTCATTTTGATTAGAGACAATACGGAATGATGCAGGAATGTTGGCTTTTTCAGTGATATTAAGTACACTGAAAAGGGCATTTGTAAGAAATCTTCTTCCTCCACCCCCCCCCCCGATATGTCCCTACCGTAGTGTTTGTCAAAGGGGGTACAGCAATGAAACTGCCTGCCCCAAAGCTGCTCAGCATCTTGCTGAAAATGCAGACTTTCTCAGCCCCGCAGCCACTGATGTAACATCTCTATGGGAGGGACTCTGGGATCTCAGTCGGCTCTTCTAAAAGCTGTGGTCTGATGACCATTTCTCTTCAGCCATTATCCTTAGAGTAAAACCACAAAGCATTAAGTGCATTTAAGAATAATTTTGAATTTCCAAACTGTACAAATTGCTTTTTAAAATATAGGGGTAAGACACTACCATAAATAAAGAAGTAAAATTAAGTTTTACAGCCATCTCAGTCTTGTGTTATTTATCATTTTAGTATAGCAGAATAACATGGTAAGAGTATGTCATAGTATACAACAGAATGCTGTGGTTAAGAACTTTTAAGCAAAACCAAAGCATATTAATTAGTCACCGAGATTTATAGTCTAGAGACATAGAAGTCAATAGAAAGGTGAGTTAACAATATGCCTGGAAATTGCATGTGTAAAAAGAATTTAGTACTTTTTAAGTACTTAAAAAGACATCAATCTTCATGTATCAGAGCACAAGCATCTTAATTGGGTAAAAAAGAAAAAATCCCAGTGCCTGATTTCAAAGACAAAACTCCAAAGAACTAGACCAAAAAGGGCTTCTATTACTAAAATGCCTACTTGTTATTGTAATATTATAAAACAAAAACCCTAACACATCCAAGTTACTATCACCAGTAAATGGAACAAATCAATATTCCTGCTTCAGCAGGAATGTAATGTAATCATGAGGAAATCATGAATGTAATCATGAGGAAACATCAAACCCAAATTGAGAGACTTTCTACAAAGTAACCCCCTTTACTGCTGAAAAACTCAAAGTCATGAAGCATGAAGAAAAATCAGGGAGCCACTCTAGACCGGAAGAGGGGACAGGTAACACCCGAACCACGACGGCATCTTGACCCAGAGCACGTATGTGTTCCAAAGACCCTGCTGGGGAGATTTGCATGAGGTCTGTAGTCTAGAGAAAGGTACTGTATCAACGTGGAATTTCCTGATTTGGGTCACTGCACTGCGGCAATGTAAGGGGATGCCCTTGTTCTTAAGTAATCACAAGTTCATGTTTCCAACTTACTCTCAAATGGCTCACAAAATAGTATGGAGAGAAACAGAAAGTGAGAGAGAGAGAATGCTAACAGCAAATGGGGCAAAGTGTTAGAAGTGGGGAATTCAAACAAAGACGTTCTAGCATTCCTGCGACTTTCCTGTTAAGTTTTAAATTATTTCAAAATAAAAAGTGATAAAAATATTTTTTAAAGCTATCATAAGAACACTAAAAAAACTAAAACTTTTGGGACATATTTTTAAGCTTCATATCTAGAGGTACTACTTATGTCTATTTAAGTTGTTTTGTAAATCTAAAAATATAAACAAACCAAATCTTCACTTCCATTCAATGCCTTCCTTCATCCTAGAAATTACAGAACTATGTTGTTCTTTTTTCTTCTATCAATTATATGTATGTCCCAGATCACTATATAGGTTAGTGGAAAAAGTTCTGCGTTTTGCACATTGATTTGAAAAATAATTCAAATGTTGATTTTTATAGTTTTTTCCCTAATAGTTCTTTCCTTCCTTTCCTTGTGCCTTAATGATTTCTTTTATCAGTTTCATATCTGTAATTGATTTTGAGTCTATTTGAAAGTAGCTTTAAACCAGAATGTTACCTGTTTAGTGGCATAGATACACTTACACACACGTAAGCAACAAAACCCCCTGCCACATCAGCTCTCCAATACACAGTATTTTGTGATTATTTTGCAATGTGATTTCCTAACCGACCTAACAATTGTGTCAGAGGTCCTGCTGCGTAGGGTAGAGAGGGGGATGATAGGAAAAAGATGCCAATTCCCTACAGCAGCACTTGACGCACATTTGCCACAAAATAAATATGTGTGGGGGACGGGTTAGTGCATGATTCCACATCACCTGCCATGTATCGTCAGAAACCAGGAGACCGTGGCATACGAAACAGATGCTTACAAATCCAAAGGTGTGGAAATAATGCTTCTGAGAATCTAGAGATGTCAAGTAATATAAGCTTTTGGTGAAAATGACTTTCTTGTATTTATTTTGTCATGCTTCTAAATATTAAGTTATAACAGGGATGTTGTCGTATTAATATCAAATTAAGGCCATGAAAAAGTAAAAGAAAAAAAAAGACTTGTATACACTGTATATATTGTGTATTAATCCTTCAAGCTATGAAAAACTTAAAACAATCAGATTTTTATGGAGTGTCACCAAATATAACTGAAAACCTGTTAGTATCAAAAAGTCTTGATGTTTGCTTTCCAAATGCCAAAATCTTCAGGACCAAATGGAAGCTCTGTTTGATTCATGTCCTGGTTCGTCTACTGCAAAAGGAAAGTTAGGATGACTTCGGGAGAACTCTAAAATATGCAGGCACAGGAAATACGTGCAAAGGAATTTCAAATACCTCCTCTTTAAGATCCAAATATCATTTAACCCCTTCATTTTCTACACAAGGGACAGTTTAGAATTAGTTGAATATAGAAGATACCGAAGATAAACTAAATCTAAACTGTAAGGATAATATGCTAACATAGGTCAGTAAATAATTGTTTGAGGCATTTTCATTTTTATTAAAGTTAATCACAATTTCTACTTCAGGATATTCCACAACTGAAGGAAAAAGAGCTATTACAGCTGCTTGAAGGGGGTACAAGTTGAATTGACACAAGTTTTAGGAATAGGATTTAAAATATTTTGAGCAGGACAAGCATCTAACAGGATCAATATTTACTTGACCGTCTTATACTATGGTACCAAAGGGAAAAACTCCCTGAAAATTTCTCCCATATAAAAATTCAAGACAAAAACAGATCAAGCAGTGGAAAAAGCAGAATGAACATTTGCATTTTGAGAATTAGTAGCCTAATACATAGAATACACTGTGCTCGTTGAAACATTCAGCTGCAGAGAAATATTAAAGTGTAATGTAATACAGGAAATAGCACCTTTCAAAAATCACGTTATCTAAAATGAAAGTTTGCAGAAATATTCTCGCTACAAATCTCCACAGGAAGAAAACAGAGAAGGAGGAGGTAACGCAAAACAGTTTTGAAAAGTGTAATGCTACATGTTGATTGCAAGTGCGAACGTTACAAAACACTTAAAGCCAAAGTTACACTTCCATAGCTGCAGGATGCAAAAAAAACCCTCTTCTTTTAAAGTCACATATTTCATATCCTCTCTAAACTGGGCCAGTAAAGCAGCATACCTTAACGTAAGGGGAAAAATATTTAAAGGGCCTACTTAAGAATTAAAGCAGTAAGTATTAAAGTATCTTCTGTATGTCTTTCTACTAAATGCACGGCGAGGAGCTTTACTATAAGACTCTTTTGCTTAAACTCAATGGAATTCAGAATAAAATGAGTCTGTCATGTCATAGCCCAAAACTTTTCATTACCTAAGTACCACAAAGAGATTATCATGATTTTTATTAGATGAGTCTAGGTACAGAGAAGCCTTTTGCAGCCAGAGTTCTGACTATAATGTTATGATCAGACCCAATGTTATTCTTTTCTTTTTTACAAGTGAGGCAAAGTATATACTCATTCTTTCTAATCCCTTAAAATCCTTATAGTTGAAAAGGTGGTCCTTGAAGGTTAATTCAAATAGAAATAAATTTGCTTAGTGGTATATGTAATTTTAACAGCCTAGACATATATTCAAAGAATATTTTCCAATTGTGACATCTGTTTGGATATTTTGTTATATGGCTACTTTATCAAAAGTCCTATCATAGCCAATTATGTCCATGTTTCCAAAAATTGTTATTAATCAAAAATGCTGCCATCTAACTTGTAAGAAACAGATCTTGGGTTCAGAAAATACCAATACATTACTAACAAGTTATTATAATTCTGCATTTACTTTCATTTATAAATATCATATAAATATCACCGCCAAGTATCATAATGTTAAATCATTAAACTCATTTGTAAATATTGATTTAAAAACCTTGGAGCATATGCTGCAAAAACAAAAACAAAAAAACTTGAGTAAAGCTAAAAACAAAAACAAAAACAAAAAAAAGTATTTTTTTTCCAGGTAACACAGCCAATTCTTCATGATCATCACCTACCCGGGAGTTGATAATAAACACACGCACAGTTTTTATAGGAAACTGACCTTGCACAGTGTGAAGACAATATTGGCAAATACCACATCTCAAGTTATATTCTAAGAAATCATACAAGCTGTAATATTTCATAAAGTTGTTTATTCTTGTTATTAAAACTTGGACTCAAGTAATCCGGGTTATTCTGGAAAAAGCACCTTGTTTGCAGGGATCACTTAATCATCCTTTTCTACAATCACCTCTCCATGAAGCACCTTTCTTCTTTGGCGTAACATGTGAAAATAAAGTTGTGGAAACACTGATTAAAAAAAAAGAAAACAAAAGAAGGTATTGTTGAAAATTATTTATACTAGAAAGTTCTTCCCAGTAGCAAGCTTCGAGGGCAAGCACATCATCCACCACCTCGGCCTTCCCAAATATTCACAGAGCTCGGGGAAAGAGTAGAAATGTGGGCCTCCACATACCATATGCCTACATGTTTTATAGGCTCACCTCCATTTGATTGCATTTTTTACACATTGAAGGTCTGTGGTAACCTCACCTCGAGGGAGTCTGTTGGCACCGTTTTTCCAACAGCATCTGCTCATTTTGTGCCCCTGTGCCACATTTTGGTAATTCTCACAAGACTTCAACCTTCCTCATTATTATTATTATCGTACTTGTCATGGCCATCTGTGATCAGTGGTTAGGACTCACTGAAAGCTCAGCTGACAGGGAGCATGTTCTAGCAATAAGGTATTTTTAAATTAAGATGCGAACATTGATGCTATTGCACACTTAATAGACTACAGCATAATGCAAACCTAACTTTGGTATGCACTGGGAAACCAAAAAATTCATTTGACTCACTTCATGGCAGTAATAGCTTTACAGCAGTGGCCTGGAACTGGACCCACAGTATCTCCAGGGTATGGCTGTAATGCCATTAACTGCTGGGGATTCTGGAGCAAAGTTAAATATCTTGATAAATGTACCTTTGTAATGACCTGGAAGGCCAAGTTTGAATTTAGAACTCTGTAACTCTTTGGAATCCTGTGCTAGAACATTCCAGCACAAGGAAAACTGCCCCCACCTGGCCCCCTTTTCTCTGGTCCACTGGCTATCCTGTACCACTCGGGGTCTCGTGAACATGTATGGACATCTACGCCCACACGACCCAACTGTATCCATACCCTTCATACACAGCTGCCCTTCGGCTACCCCTTGATCTCAGGACTGTTTTCACTGGTGACATGGTTTATCCCTCAGGAGAACAGACTGGGGAAGAGGCCTATCCATGCAGTCCCTAGGTGCATGCACACTCAGCACCACTTGGGTCACAAATTCCATGATCCCAGGTTTCTAGAAAGCGGTCTAGAAGGGGAGGGGAGGCCTGTGTGGAGAATGATCAGTGGAGGGCCAGAACACCAAGAGCAGAAGCCTCTCTTGGTTGGGTATATGGCTATTCTGCTATATACACATTTATGTATATGTATTAAGTCAGTTAGACAAAGGGTCATCTGCCCTTCCAAATTTGAAGAATTACTTTTAGCCCATTTGAACCAGGGCTTTTAAACTATAGTGTAAATGTTAGTGGGTATACAAATTAACATCAGCTATAAACAACATAAATATTTGTAAAAATATCTCTGAAAATGATGAACTGAATTATTAAAATCAATTAACTAACGACAAAAAAAAAGCTTTGAATATCTTGCTCAGGCAACTTTAGTTAACTATTTTTAGAACTTAGCCCACATAGAAGAAAAATACACAACGGATTTTATTCTTTTTAATTTAGGTATCACCCATCTTGATAAATGTAATCATCGTATCATACCCAGGGGCCTGAACATATTCAGGTAAAATATACTTAAACCTAACTGACCAGTTATTGAAAATACTTCTATCACATTCTGAGTAGTGTAGTGGAAGGGCAGGCTTGAGTTCAAACCCTAGCCTTATTTACTACCTGGGTGATTTGTAAACCATGTCTGTAACGTCCTCATTGCGATGTCCTCCAATCTGTAATGTCATTATTGAAAAATGAGAGTAGCACTTCTTTTGAGTACTATTCACAGGACTGTTAATACAGTCAATGAACAAAAAAAATTCAATGAACAAAGTAAAACTAGCTGTATTACAGCTAATATTAACGATCCAGTGGAAAACATCCCCCTGGCTGACGGATGCTCCAGCAAGTTGGGACCCTCAAGGAACCATCAGCATCATGAACGGAGCTCCTAGTGACACGGGCCAGAGTCTACATCTCTCAGGACACCACTAAACACACAACCAACAGTTACTAGTTTGATGGTTTCCAGCCATGACCTGTTGGGCCTCAGGTTTCTGTGGAGATGCCTCCGCAGTTACAAGGAAGAGGGGGACCCGATTCCCAAACCTGTAACTAGGATATAAACGGAAGCAGGCTGTGGCCCTGCACCAGGCATGGTGCCATTCACCAGACGCTGCGGAAGCAGAGGGCGCACACGGGTGCTGCAGACATTCCACCCCTCAGCCCTCCCGAACGGCCGCTGGTGGATAATCTGATGACAGTTAGGCCCAACTGACAGAAGATGAGGGGAATAAATGCACTGTGTGACCGTCAAGTCAATGCCAATTTTGAAAAAGCTTCAAAGTTAGAGGCCTCAAGGGGCTGGCCAAGTTTTATGTGCACCCCCATTACATAAAATATTTTATATCGTGTTGATGCAGATTTTAGATGCTATAAACTCTGCTTATTTCCTTGGCTCCCTCACGGACTTTAGAGTCTCTAATTTTATTGAGAAAAGTAAATAACGGTCTTGTTTTACTTGTGTATTTCCTGCTGGTGACTATCAAAATTTGACCGAAATACATTAACCCTGTGGGTATTTACATGAAGTGAGTAAAGCCTCACCAATTCACTGCAACCTACTGAAAGGGGACAAGAAATTAGTGAAGAGGCTGAATTATTCAAAATATTTTAATGGGGCACCTAGATGGCTCAGTCTGTTAAGCATCCAAGTCTTGATTTCAACTTAGGTCATGATCTTGAAGTTCATGGGTTCAAGCCCCGCTTCGGGCTCTCTGCTGTCAGTGCAGAGCCCGCTTGGGATTCTCCCTCCCTCCCTCCCTCCCTCCCTCCCTCCCTCCCTCCCTCCCTCCCTCCCTCCCTCCCTCAGCTCCTCTCCCGCTCGTGCATGCTTGCACTCTCTCTCTCTCAAAAATAAATAAAGATTAAAAAAATATTTTTAAAAAAGCACCTTCGTTATTTTCTAGTACGTAGAGCGACACACACAAGACTAAAAAGTAATCTTGAATAACTTTTCCAAGTATATGCTCAAGGAATAGATAGAAATGACCCGACATTTTCTTGGATAAAATGTTTCTCTTCAGAGAAATAATTCTAAATGCTGGCAAATAGTTCACTGATGGGGGCTCTATCTTTTCTTTAAAAAGAAAAAAAGTCGTATTAAGCTTCTCTTTAAATGATTTTGAGAAGGCAGTCATTTGTGTATCAATTTACCTACCTTTTTCCTTATAACTAGGAAACAGTCTTTTTTGACTCACTCACTCTTCAATTATTTAAAATTATGAATTTTAAATGTGGGGTTGAACAGAAGTTTTGATGTATTTGTAAGCCATTATGCTGCCTTGCTTATTAAGCCAGCATATCATGATACTTTATAAAAACTTTCACAGCATCTGCTAAACCAAAGTACTAATAACCACATACTTACGTGGTATATATGAGGCCATGGTTATAAGAAGAAAATAATAGTAGTCAAAAGAGACATTGTATTTATTAGGAAGTCTTATTGAAAACATTCCTGTCTTCTTCACGTAGGGTAAGGCAGCATATATTGTAAGAAGTTCACCAGCAACTCCAACAGGGTATAAGATGATAAAAAAATTGTATCTGGAGAAAAGAAAGACCTCAAGGAATTATTTTTCTAGGGCAATGACTGGATTTGACATCATCATTCTTTTGCTACTACTGTCTTTAAACCTAAAAATTCATCCTGCACATAGTTACAATGCCCCTCACGGGTTAGTTTTCTCTACTTTAATTATTTGCTTATAAATTTAATGATCTTCCTTTTTTCTCATAGCAGTTTCCATTTTAAGATGGCAAGATCTTAATAAAATAAGAAGTCAACTTACTTTACAGTACTGAAATAATGGTATACATGTTAAAAATATGTATGTAGTTTTGTATTGCAAAGCACGTAAGCATTGTAAATACTGTAAAGCACCTGTACGGATTATAAGGTATTGTAAAGGTAACTTCTTTGACACCTGAAATCAGAACTGAACGAGTCACTTACTGGTCAGGAGCAGTGCTTTAAAAGACCAGTTATGCTCCTAACTTGACATCTACATCTTGAAATTACCAAAGGGGTTCTCTGGAGGCATTTGAAAACCCTGTTGTGGTTACTAATTAAAAGAGAATTAATTACCATTTCAGAAAACTGAAATAATACTACCTAAAGTTTCCATAACTACTAATGACTATATTGTCTAAAACTGCTTTCGTAACAAAACAAGAAAGACAAGTTGTTTCCAAAATTCCCACATTAAAGGAACAACTTGCTTAAAGCAGAACTGAGAAGGTTCTTTCCAAAACCCCAAATCACAAGCTTGTTCATTTGGGCTATGGCGGGGTCTCTAACACAGAGTAGCCAGCCGTCACTTCCACCTGCAGTGAGAGAAACATTCTGCAAGTCTCTGCGGGCCTCCAGCAGAAAGAGCAGCAAAGACCCAAGGCGACAACGTTTCTCCATTAAAGAAAATCATTTTTCTCCAAGGGAGTTACCACAGAAAATAAAGGTCAAAATCTCAGTGGAAAAAGAAAGAAATCAAATCAATCCATATTTTATTTAATCATGTTGTTGGCATTAATATTTGTAGAGAAAAGTTAAAATCATCAGCATGGCAGGAAACTGGTGATACCAAGTACGCCAAGGGCATACAAGGATAAGAGACGGGAGAGGAACAGAATTATTTGCCAAAATAAACCAAGTGGTGAAAGAAAAGACCAATGATCCTTTTACTGTCCCTGTTTATCCCCTCCTTGCCTTGGGTATATCATCTGCTTTCTTACTAGTCTTTGTAATTTGTATATTATTTAAATCACTCTTTTCCAGTCTTAATGTCCTAACTCAATTTAAAATCATATAACTGAACATTTTATAAGCCCTTCTCCAGTAAAATGTTCAAACTTATTTACGTGGTTTTTAAACTTTATGTGACTCTCCAATGAGTTTTTTTGGAAGCATTGTTCTTCAACAACAACAAAAAACCCTATCAATCCTAGAGTGAACTAGTTTAAGGCCTTCGGCCACTGATTATTTTTAATGTAATGAGAAAGAATTATGTCATTTACTTTCTTTGCACTTTAAAAAGACTGCACATCACCAACTCTCTAAGTTCGGATGGCAGCATGAGAAATTTAACTCCTTATTGAGAAAAAGATATAATGCCTCCTTTAAAATTCCCAATTGGCACCTAAAATTTTTTTTGAAGGGAATGCATTTTCAAAATTAAAGTGGAAATTAACAAAAACAACAATATACAAGTACCTATTCAGTGGACTTTTCTAGGAACACTTCTAACACATAAACAGCATCAAAGTATATTCAAACTGTCAGAGTAGGCCGGCTACTTATAAATAAGAAGCCATTCTTAAAGTGGAACTTTTATTTGAGAACAGAAGCTTCAACATTTGAACATAAGTACAAATATTATTTTAGGTTTTTTAATGAGGTTGGCAAATACGCCTGGGAACTTAAGATTTTTGACATGAAATAAAATGATTCGTGATTACGGTTAACTGACATGTATCATGCTAACATGGACATTTCAAAGCTGAAAGATTTTATAGTACCTGGTTTAACATTAATGCAATTGAGGAAGGATTTCTGAACAGCAAATTTAAACATGCAATGGCAGAGCTTTGAACTTTTCTAGAAATTCAACACATGCAAAATGCATTCTAAAAGGCAGACAGACAAAACATTTAAGACATGTGCCTTTCACAAACAAACTGTATAAATATGGCAAGTGAAGAAACTATCTCATGAATTAGTATTTTCGAAGGTGCCAGAAGTCTGGAAGACTGGGATCGTGCAAGATGGCACTGAGGTATATTCTAGGATTAGTCTGGTGACACTCCAAACCGCCAACTGTGTGAAAGGCCCAACTGCTCAAAGCGGAAGAATGTTCAGTTACAGTAAGAATAAAACCAACAAACATACATCCATGGGAGCACAACCTTCTTATGATAGACAATATGTTTAAGTTCAAATGACAATTTTGAAGCATTTTCAAGAAACAAAATGGGTCAGCCACAAATGTCTAAAAGGAGCTGGGGCACATAAAAAAAGTGTGAAAGGATATAAATCCAGTTAACGGTGAGTATCATGACAGAGGGGTATTATAAACAATTTAAAAGGTTTTTTTCCTTTATTTTTGATTTTTTATATATTCAACAGTTCATTATATTTGAACATGTGTAATACAGGAGTTAGGAAAAAGGAGTAACTACTTAAAAAAAAGTGTTAGGCTTTTAATATACGGGGATCAAAATCAAATCTGATGCTAGTTGTATGCTTACTTTCAAACTAGTTACGAATGTGTTACTATAAATATCAGGGTTTTAAAAAATAGAAATAAGGGCACCTGGGTGGCTCAGTCGGTTAAGCATCTGACTTTGGTTCAGGTCATGATCTCATGGTTCATGGGTTCGAGCCCCACGTCGGGCTCTGTGCTGACAGCTAGGGGCCTGGAGCCTGCCTCGGATTCTGTGTCTCCCTCACTCTCTGCCCCTCACCCACTCATACTCTGTCTCTCTCTCTCTCTCAAAAATAAATAAACAAAAAAACCTCTTTTATATAAAAAACAAAAATATGGGGGCACCTGTGTGGCTCAGT